AGTATGACCATCTAATTTGGCTTTTTATTATCCTGTTTTGACATCCCATAGACGGATAGACTTATCATCACTACCAGAAGCTAATGTATTACCATCAGGAGAGAAACAGACTGAGTTGACATAATGACTATGACTATCCATTTAATACAATTCGTTTATTTATAATTATTACCAATCTCCATTTAAATTAATTCATTTGATATTCACATTCTTAAATTAGGACTTAGATAAATTACACTTAGCATAATTACCTCCAAATATATTAGTATTTTCTATTCTTATATTTTCAAAATTTTAGTTTGTTAGATCCACCTACATTTCAACCAATAAATTTATTGCATTAGACCCACTTATTGTAAATTTATTATCTATCTTAGTGAGATGAACTAAGAATTTCAAAAATTCTTTTATCCTAGCCTCTTGATATATTTTTTAAATGAGATATTATCTAGTTTCAATGTATATTTCAGTTTAATATCATGTTTTTTTATGATTTGGATTAAATGAGTAATTGATTTAATAGTATCACAATATTTTTATTTTTCCAAAATCTATATATATTACCAAATTAATTATAACACTAGCAATAGTTTTACCTGAGATTATTTAGAAACTCTAAGCAATCCTAATTTTTATTCTCCTCTTTTGACAATATTTCTATTATAATCTTACAATATCTAAATATTAAAATCTTTTGATTGAACTAATACCTCATATAAATCAGCTGCAATTAAGAACTCTTAAATTGATTTATGGGTAAATTAAAAATTAGCGCCTTTTTATTAGACAAGTGATTATGTCAGTTCATTCTTACTCATTGTTTTTGCAAATCTAATTGAGTATTCTAATAGATCATGCAGAAAACGATCAGTATCTATTGATTTTCATAAGTTTCTCTATTTTTCGATTTATTTCAAGTTGTAATAATTGATAAACTCACAATAAAAGTCATAAATCGTAAGATTGTATTCTTTTAATGTATCATTGGCAAATTAGATTATTTCTTCCTATTAAATTTTTATTTTCCTTAATATTTAATTTTGTAGCCAAAAAACAAGATTAGTTTCAAATATTTTTTCAAGTTATTTATACACTCCTTCAGATTCTTAAGAGATTTACAATTGTTAAGGTATCGAATTTTCTTCCACAATATTCCAAACTACAAATGCAGTTTAATGGTAATCAATAATTTCCAAGTTGTATAAATCGTTATGAGTAACTTCCAAGAATTCATCATCATCAACTTAAATTTCTGCTTCAGATTCTTTATTAACTTCCTTTTTTGACACCTACAGATGCCTTTTCTATTGTGATTTATACATCTGAATCTGTATTTACTTATGATGAATTCTTGTCAAAATCTTTGAAAAATTCTTCAAGAATGTTGATTTAATGTTATTAATCTCAGTTGCTTTAAAAATAATGTTGGGCAACACTTACACTATAATTTCCATCATATATGGAGTTTCCACTAATTTATTTAGATTTACCAAACCAAGGTTTCCCGATAGAAAAGTTTTCGTTCAATAAGTTTATCATCATAACTATAATTATATTTTAATTGAGCTTCAATTAATTCTTTTTGATGTATCCCTTGAATACATAAAAAAGTAATAATTAACTTCAATAGTCTATGAAAATAGGTTTAGAGAAAGAACTTTAGACCAGTTATCACAAATGGAGTAATTAGTATTAAGTTAAATTTTAAAGGATTGAAAATATCTCATTCAAGAAGTAAATTAATAGATAAGTCAAATTTTATTTTTATATTTGTATAAGTTGATAGAGGAAATTTTAATTTTTTCAATATGTAGAATATTTTTAATTCTAACTTATTCTAATTTATTTATTAAAGTTAAAGTCAATTCACATTAAGATCATAATCTAAATTTATACTCAAAGTTCTTTAAAAATGATATTTATTGTTTGTTTACTAAAAATTTGGCATACTACGATTATTTAAAAAGATATTCCTTACAAGAAAAAAGAATCATATGGATTTACTATATAATTTTATTATTTTTATAGGAATCTCAATAAAATCAAACGAATTTTTTTATATTAATTTCCAATCTTCATTAAAACTTTCATATTTACCTTGAGCATCTTATTGACATTACGATAAGGGAAGCCATCATTTTTTTTCTCGATACAAATTATCTCTCTAATTAAATTCTCTTAAATATAACAATTTTAATAGATGCAATACAAATAATCTATATCAAAGTTTTTTAATTTTAATTCCGATTTCTTCCTGTTATAATAATTTAACTATTCTTAGCTTAAAAATCATTTATCAACAATTGGATTAGAATACAAGAAATAAAATTAAGTATTGGCTGACAATTTTGAAAGAAATATTAGAGAATTCTATGCTTAATATTTAAATTGAATAATGTGTTATATATATAATATTAATAAAGTAAAAGTTTTATTTTTTTTCAGCACAACAATTACCTTAAGAGCAATTTACAATTTTTTCAGGTTAGTCTTACATAATTTGATTCTTATTTAATTATACTTTGTGAATTTGAAGTCTTATGGAATTAAGTGTTTAAATTATGCTATTTAATTAAATATTTTATACTTAAGGAATGAATGTGATATGTAGAAAAAAATGGAATTTCATGATTCACTACGTTTAATCTGTCTTAACGAATTAGAAAATGGTAAATTATTATCATGTTATCGTATTTATCATAACAATTGTTTAAAAAATTGAATTACAGGGAATTCAAATCAATTTTATCCTAAATACAAATAGCCAATCAAATTAGATGAGACTACAGTATATTAAATTGATAATTAAACTTAAAAAATAAATATTATTATCTGAAATATTAAAAATATATATAGAATATTTAAGATATTGAAAATGCTTAGTATTCATTACTGTTTGAAGATTTACAATATACTTCTGGATTTACTGAAATCAAAAGACTCTAACATCAATCATATGTATAAATGTTTGAAAGGTTAAGAAAAAGGTTATAAAGCTGGACTTGATATTTAACTCATAGTTAATGTAAATAGGAGAAATATATTGATTCAATAGTTTGATATGGATAAGATATCATCTTTTTCTAGGTACCAATCCAGGATAAAGTAAATGAAGTTAAGCTATGAAAGTAAAATAGAAGACTTTCTGGATNATTATTATTATTATTACCAATATAAAATACCCAAGTTTATAATTAATATAAATAGTGATGATGTCATAAAAACAATCTTAAGCATGGCCGCTAATCAATTATTTAATAATAGAGATGATAAAGAAGGCATGATATATTTTGATTTTGAATTATCGTTAATTCACCATTTTTAAAAATCAGAAATATAAATAAGCATCAAATATACGAGAGAAGGATAAAAAATGGTATATTTTTTAATAATTTAAGAAGGAAAGTTATTTTGAATTTAAACCTTAATAATTCAAAGATTTTATTAGTTCCAAATTCAGTGAAAACGAGATCTAAATTAGGTTAAACCAAATTTGATTTATAAATAGCCTCTGTTCAATTAAGGGAAGTGAACTAATGAAAAAGCAAGAGTCCGAGCTGAATGGAATGTGATAATCTAAAAACTAATAAAGAAAGTTAATATCTACCCTAAATTACCAAAATTTGAAAGGTAATATATAGCGACTATTGAGTAAATGTAAGAATAATTTTATAATAACTCTTGGGAATAATTTCCTAACCTAAATTATGCTGATTAATTAAATTAAATTCAGTTAAAAATCAAATAATCAACACTTCTATTTATCTTAAGATTAAAAATGGAACTACAATCAACCTCATCCAATTGATTGTCCATAATTCATACTTTCTTGATTATGTTTCCCACATAGCTCAGCCCCTATATTCCCTTTGAGATAACAAACTGAATACATTCCTAGACATTACTAACCATATGCTGTACTTAGATATCTGATTAATTACATCAGATATCAAAGCTTTTGAAAAAGGTTAGTATTACCTCTTTTCTTTCTGCTAATTTAGATAAAGTGAAAAATAGAGAGATCTGGTGTATGATTGATTGTCAATTGATCATTTACCAAATTTTGACAGAAGGGGAATAGGTGAAGGTCTGTCTCAGTTGTCTTATAACGTACAGTATCTTATTTTATTTTCTATAGTTTCCTATAAAGTGAGTAAGACAAGCACTAAAATAAACAGAAGTTTTAGATCCCTATGTTTATTTTATATAATATTTTTATTATTTCTATTTTTATCATTTCTTCCATTAAACAACTTAATTAATCTTTATTCAAATCAAAAAAATGCAAAATAAATTTAATTCATGGTACTTATTTTATATATCCCTTGTGATATCTAAAATCACAGCATTAATCATCATATAATACCTAATTTTTACTTAGAGAAAATTTCAAAAGTGTATGGATCACCATTATTTTTATTTTCTAAAAACTAACAATTTTAGCTTATGTTGAAAAGTATAACTTATATAATTGAGATTTGGAAGTTTAAATGATCAAAATTAATTAATATTTTTAATAATTAATTTTAATTGGAAAAGAAAATGTAGACTAGATGTACCTAAGATGATCATCAAGTAATAGATAATAGGGTCATTTATGGAAAGTGCACGCTCAGTTTGAAGCACTTATTGTAATTTTTGCTTGCCTAGCCACAATCAGTATCTTAACAAGTTTAGATCTTTTGAACTGTTAAAAAAATGGATTTAGTAACGAATCATAGTGCTCAAAACGGTTCGTTGCTAAATATGTTAAGAGTACCCTTGATCGTCTTCCCAATATTTTAATTCACTGTTTAAACTTGAATGTATAATAATTCTGAGAAATTGGGCTTTTATAGTTTGATAAAATGAAAAAGATTAATGTTATTTGGAAAATTGTGGGATAATATGAGTCTTAATATATATGATATATATGAGTATATAAGTAATGATGGGGAGTATTTGATAATTTTTTATTCTGATCTAATGAGATATAAATAAGAAAGCATTAAGGATTGTGAATATGATAAAATAAATATATTTAAAGTTTATTTAATATTCATTATAATTTTTTATTAGGAAGTTTAGTGAAATTTAAAATTAGGGGACTTTACCAAGAATTGAATTTCTTAAAAGAAATGTCGAGGAGATTACAATAAAAGAATTAAACTATAATTTTTTTTTTATTTAACTAATAACCCAATTTATATTCTAGGGGATGAAAAAAAAGTTATTTGATGAATATACATTGTTAATTGTTCTTTAAATACTTTAAAAAAATCTTACCTTGTCAAATAAAGATTTTACAAAATAGTCATCATTTATAATTCAACGATTATTAAAACATTCATTATTTTTCAAGGTAAAAGAAAGTGGCTATAATAATATTATTTTGTGTGTTAACAAATATTTTTGAGAAGGATAGGTGAAAAAATAATTTCAGTTTTTACTCCATATTCATCAAGTCAATAATTAATAATTGATAAATTATAATTAAAATTTATTTGGTACAACTAAACCAATAGTTTAATTATATTATTAAGCATTCATTTTCTGAAGATACAAAAAACCAATTGACCCTTTAATTAGGAGGGTCTCAAATTGAGCGAAAATTTTTAAAGCAATTTTAATTGCATATCATTTCTTTTTCATTACTTAAATGTTTTAGTTAGTTAACAAATTAAATATTTTCATTATTTTCAAACAGGCTGTCCATTTGAATTCTATCCTTTTAATATCGAATAAAATGCACAACTTTATAATTACCCTCTCAATAAGTACTGGTGAACATTATTTCTTAAATTTGTTAAAACATTAACCATATTTTCAGCATTTTTTTCTTTAAATTAATAAAGAAAATCATTTTCTAAATTTGCTTGCTTTAATTCTTATAATTTTAATTTGAATCATTTGGATTACAATCTGATTTACTTTTTTTACTGATTAACCTAAAATTTAAGGAAGATTTAACATTTATATTTATGCTTAAGTTGACAAATATACTCAAAATCTTATCCTTGATTTTTTTATTTACTATATCACTAAAGAATTCCTATCATTGAAATAAACCATATATATTGGTATATATGATTTATTACAATATATCATCCAAATTTAGTAAGGGAATAATTACATCGTCCTTTCAAATAATTTGATATAAAGAAGTGCATAAAGTAATATAAACTCTAAATCTTGATATATATTTTGACTTTGAAATTTGTTCATTAATTTAATAGAAAGTTTTCAGATATTTTGATCAATATTATTCTATCAGTTTGTAAACTAAATATCATTCTAAATGTTTGTAATCTAAATATTTCTACCTAATATTATCACATTAATAGGCGTAAATGGCTCTATTGAAACAAGTGGGAGTTACAAGTATAAGAATTCATTGTTCACCTTAGCTTTTGCCATTAAATTATCAATTTTATTTTTTAATTGTATTAACCATACGATTATACTCTCTGAGGAAAATCGACCTTAATTTGTATTCAAATACTAACAGTAAATAATTGAATCACGATCTCAGTAAAGCGATACTCTATTTAATGCAAAAGTAACCCTAATCAGATTATTATTATATAGCCTTATGAAACCAATAGCCTTTTTGTAATGCATTTGTGAGAAAAAATTGCTATGGTTTTAATAGATCAGGAAATTATTAGCTTATGAGCATGTTGAACAGTTTTCTAATCACAAATTTTTTTATTTAAATATTATATAAAGTAAGAGAAGTGCATTTTCACAAAGAATACAGAGATTCTAATATTATTATAAATCTGTAACTATATTTGAATTAACATTAAATAATAAAATCTATTGAGTAAACTTTAGAACTCTTTGTTTAAACTTAACAATGATATGTATTCTATCGTTTATTTATGGCTTTCAATATCTGTTATTAAAATTTATTCTTCAAACAAGAGAAACATTAATCCCTTGCATGATTAGCATTTCAAAGTTGAGAAATAAATTATTGAAAAAATATTACACTACTGATTTAACTATATAAATTAAACTTCTGAAAATCAAGTCAGCTTACTGCATTATTAATAATGACTATCTTTTACTACTTAAATAAGATTAATACAAATATAGATCTACTAATTTTACTTACAATATTTCTAGAGAAATCTATAAACTCTATAAAAAAAATGTTGAAACTACCAATCAATTTGAAAATAATGGATATAAACTATCAAATAATGAATTTTATTAGTAAAAATTAAGATCTGTAATCTATTTATTCAAACTATTTTAACCTGAATAAAGCTATGTGGAATTGATAATGATTTAATTTAATTACTTAAATAGTGATATCACGGTGATATTTACTTAAAATTTTTAAATGTATTTAAAATAACTTAAATATTAAATATGTAATAATATTGAAGTTATTTACTATCAAGATATTAGATTGCCAAAAAAATTATTAGAGAGAGGACAAAAAGTAATTTAACATTTATTTAAACTTTTGTTGTTCGATAAGGTTTAATAATAAAAATATTAGATAGTATTTTTTAATATATTTAATTTTCTTATGTAGTTTTCAGATTTCCGAATTAATTATTTTTCATCTTTAATTAATTCATAGTGAACAGTTTGTAAATGAAAAAATCCAAAATTAATTTGAAGGAGTTTATCTATTTCAAAAAAAAATTCTAATCGAAATGATTGTAAAGATTAAATGGAAATAGATTAAAGTTTTTTTTTAATTTTTAATTGCGCTTTTCCTAGTGATCTTATAATTGATTCAATATTTGATAATCTTACTTTTTTCAATACATAAAGAATATTCTTCATATTATTCATTATAATCTATTACTCTTATTTAATTAAAGCAAACTAACTTTATTTATTAAATAAAATTAATTATATGATGATTGTAATTTTTCTTATTTGCTTGAATGCTTTAAAATCAATTGAAATCTAAACTTTAGACCCTTATTATCAAGTTTCTTATCAATCGGTAAAGATTGATGATGAGATTTTTCAGCCAAACCAATTTTTTAGTTATGGTCTTTGGTCTCGATATAATCCTTTAAGTGCTATATCTTAAGTTGGTCCTGTTGGAATTTTTGGAAGTAATTGCTACTAATTACTGAATATCATTGATAAGGTAGATGGTGGAATAACTTTTATGTATTTCGATTGTTTACATAATGAGAAATATCAAATAACAAAAGAAATCAAATTTGTTAATGATAATGGAGAATAGAAAATTTATGAAACTCAGATTGAAGCATAAGAATATGAAAGCTTTTGGTATTTTCTTGAAATAATCTAATGGCCAATTAAAAAAAGATTTGAAATTTTTATAATATCCCAAAAAGAATAAAAATTTTTTATAATGGATGAAATGAAATCCCCATTTAAGGGAAAGGATTTACAATTAACTTTTGGAGGAAGCTTGATTGTAAGTAAATCGAAAATAGAATCAGTGTTAATCAATCAGAAATTCTCATACTTTCCTGGAAAAATTATCATGTAATAGTTTAAAATTCTGGAAGAATTAAGTATTGATGATTGGTTTGAATATGCAAAAAGTGTTTTTGAAGAGTATGAAACTTGTAATTGCTCGCCTAATCAAGAATTTTAAATTCCAGATTTAAACATTAGCTCTATTTAAAAGGGAGAATTTGTTTCAGAAAATAAAAATTGCAATTCTTTTTTTATTTAAGGATGGTTTAAAATTTAATAAATTATGGACAAAGACTATGTATATCTTTATCCATTTATAAAATTAGCAGGCAATTTTGAAAATCCAAATTTATCTAGTAATAATTTATCTCCTGTTTAAGTATTTTATAAATTGTCCAATATTTAACATTAAATTCTAATTACTACATATAGTTTCACTTTTCCATCAGTAACAATAGATTTCAAAAGTAATCCTTTTTTAATTGAGAAGACTTTTGATATTGTAAACAGTATTACATTATGGCATAAAATTTAGATTTAATTGGAAAATAGCTTAATGGATATCTAGATTAAATTCTATGATAACTATATGATTCATGAATATAATTAATAATTAGAAGTCCGTTAATTTTAAGAGAATTAATTTAAATTATAATTAGGAAATTATTAATAGCTTGAAATAAATCAGGTAGACTTATTGATCCGAAACTTTGTTTTTTTTAATTGTAATTAATCTTTTTCTTAAAATAATTGCCATTATACTTGTTAGGAATGTGATGGACCAACAAAAGATGATTGTTTATCATGTTCCGAAGAAAGCAAGAGAATTTATTTACCTGAATATAAAGTATGTGTTTGTCCATTAGATACAATCGATAATTTAATTTGTATAGATTATCTTGTAGCATAGATGATGTTAATCGAAGGAACATTTATCAATGAAGAATGCCAATATGGCTATTATGAATTAGATAATGAATGCTAGAAATGGTATTTATAATTATTATTTAGTCCTTCAATTATCAATTAATATTTGATAACTTGTTTAGAATGCATCTATAATCCTAAATCCTTTAGTAAAAAGCCATATTGCGGAGATGTTTTATCTATTAGTTAAACAAGCTAAACAGAAAATGTTTACTGGTAATTGCCAGAATTATTACTTTTTGATGGCATTGATCAGAATAATTTTGCATGTGTAAATTGTGATAGCTTAATCGATAATGAATTAGAAAATATATATTTTGACTTCACATAAAAATCTTTATATTTTAGAAGCATATGTATAACAGAAGAATTTAGATGTTATTAAGTCAGTCATTTTGAATGTCCTGAATATCATTTATCAATAGCTGGTATATAATGTTCCTCAAAAAAGGATGAATTTGAAAATTTTTAAGGATAATTTAATCCATAATTTGATTATATTATTACTTTTAATTGTCAGTCTCCTAACTATATTACAAACCTTTACCAATGCAAATTATGCCCTATAAATAACTGTATATATTGTTTTGAATACCAATAAGGAGATTCTTCCTTTAAAAGCACCTTATATAAGGATTTTGAAAATTTTGAAATAGATTAAAGTGTATAAATTGGTTGTGCGATGTGTGAATATAATTATATATTTGATTTTACTATTGGCGAATGCATAAAATAATAATCAAAAATATAAACATGTTTAAGATCTTTCATAAATTTGAATGGATAGGAAATTTGTACGCTTTCTTCTCTCAATGATTTTAGCATTTCACCTGAAATTATAAATTGCCAGAAATATTACTCTAATTGCTTGTAATGTGTCCTTACTCCTAAAACCAAAATACAATGTATACATTGTAGTGAAGGATATTTCAGTTCTTTGATAACTGGGGACTGTATTAAGAATTATTAACTGTATATTAATGAAAATACTTATTCTCATATTTTAACAGATGGATAAAGATCAGATACATGGGTTGTTATGATTTAAAGTTTTATGATGCAATTTTTACCATCTCAANTGAATTAGATAATGAATGCTAGAAATGGTATTTATAATTATTATTTAGTCCTTCAATTATCAATTAATATTTGATAACTTGTTTAGAATGCATCTATAATCCTAAATCCTTTAGTAAAAAGCCATATTGCGGAGATGTTTTATCTATTAGTTAAACAAGCTAAACAGAAAATGTTTACTGGTAATTGCCAGAATTATTACTTTTTGATGGCATTGATCAGAATAATTTTGCATGTGTAAATTGTGATAGCTTAATCGATAATGAATTAGAAAATATATATTTTGACTTCACATAAAAATCTTTATATTTTAGAAGCATATGTATAACAGAAGAATTTAGATGTTATTAAGTCAGTCATTTTGAATGTCCTGAATATCATTTATCAATAGCTGGTATATAATGTTCCTCAAAAAAGGATGAATTTGAAAATTTTTAAGGATAATTTAATCCATAATTTGATTATATTATTACTTTTAATTGTCAGTCTCCTAACTATATTACAAACCTTTACCAATGCAAATTATGCCCTATAAATAACTGTATATATTGTTTTGAATACCAATAAGGAGATTCTTCCTTTAAAAGCACCTTATATAAGGATTTTGAAAATTTTGAAATAGATTAAAGTGTATAAATTGGTTGTGCGATGTGTGAATATAATTATATATTTGATTTTACTATTGGCGAATGCATAAAATAATAATCAAAAATATAAACATGTTTAAGATCTTTCATAAATTTGAATGGATAGGAAATTTGTACGCTTTCTTCTCTCAATGATTTTAGCATTTCACCTGAAATTATAAATTGCCAGAAATATTACTCTAATTGCTTGTAATGTGTCCTTACTCCTAAAACCAAAATACAATGTATACATTGTAGTGAAGGATATTTCAGTTCTTTGATAACTGGGGACTGTATTAAGAATTATTAACTGTATATTAATGAAAATACTTATTCTCATATTTTAACAGATGGATAAAGATCAGATACATGGGTTGTTATGATTTAAAGTTTTATGATGCAATTTTTACCATCTCAATATTATTATCCACATTCTCTTGATTCACCAAATATATATGAGCTTAAATGTAAAGATGGCTATTAATTTACTAAATTATAATCATGCCAAAAATATTGTAGTAATGATTGTTTAAATTGTTAACAAGATTATGAGAGATTTAATTGTATGTAATGCTCTTTGAATTACTACAAAAAACCTATAAGAGTTGAAAAAGATGGTCAATGTGTTAGTTGTTCTCACTTATGCCAATACTGTTAAGAAAGAGATGAGGAGGGAATATATGTATTATCTTATACTAAAATAGGCTGTTCAACCTAGTTTTGTCTTAACAAATGAAAATGCTAAATATACAATGAAATGTATTAAACCACTTGAAGATCCTAAAATATTTATAAATCCATACACATCTATTGTTAAATATTGTTTGAATGAAAGTTGTTAAAATCATTTGTCATATATATTCTATTTTAGTAGTTGTATTTTCAATAGATATGTCGCTGGAGGTTATGAAGAAGAAATAAATTTTCAATATTCTAATCTAATTGGAGTTGATGAAATGACAATAGAATTTATAATAAACATTGAATTTCAAGAAAAGTGTCAGTTTCACAAACCTCTCCAAATTCTAACCTAATTAAGGAAATAAATATTTTCTCTTTAAAAAATTAATTTGAATCTTTTCTCTATTTATGAAAATATTTATTATACAACAGAAATTACTGAAATAATTAATTTTGATTCAATAATAATCTAAAATGTGAGCCTAAGTTTGTAAGAAGATGGTTTCATATTGAGAAATAATAACAATAAAGTTGAAATAAAATTAAAAAATATAATTTTAACTAAAAGCAATATTATTGA